TTGGATAAGCTGAAATTGCTACTGAAACATTGTACCAAGGACAGGCTTCAACATTCAAATCAAAACTGGTGATTTTGGCCCTTCTGGGGAATGGCATTCCTAGAAATGGTGTCTGTCATTGTTAGTTTTATTCTCTCATAAAATGAGAAGTATGGATCATGTAAAAGCATAAGTGCCAAGTAAAATCTATGTTCAGTTTGCAAAGAAGTGAAATTGTATACCTTCTATAATTTCAGGCCAAATGTGAGAGCTTAGCATGCCATACAGTCGATTCTATGCACATAAATAAATCACAGCTTTTATATGTAGAGTCCTTGAAACACATTTTTCTGCAGTTATGAAGACAAGGAGTCCAACTGCACACGAGATGTGAAAATCAACTATATGTAATCATTCTCTTCTGCAGTAGAATTAAAGACACTTATAGTAATGGACTGGGCAGAAGTAGGAGTAAACCACTGTCAAAGGTATCAACTATTTTCACTTTCACCATTTATCACTTAGAAAAATCTGCTTGCTGCTTGTCTATTCCTCTATATGATTTCAGAGGAAAAAAATTAAATGTGCTGCTTCACATTTCATTTTTAACAGTTAATTGCTGCATAAATACATAGTGTAAAGAAAAGCACAGACATTTTACAAAACTAGAACAGTTCTGAAATATTCCGTTTCCTCTTCATTTACATTTCTTATGCAGCAGATACATCTGAAAGATCTACTCTGAAGTGACTCTTTCTAAAGGAAGGCAAAGCTACATTTGCCTAGAGAGTGTCTGAACCAGAAGTTTAAACTCCTCATCACTTTGAAGGCAATAGAACTGACGTTTATTGCTGAGCCATGCCGAACTACAGCCCCACCTCTGGATAACTAAAGACTACGTGGCAGATGGATGCTTTAAGAGCCTTCCCCGGAGCCTTCCAGTGCATATCATCTTGTCTGTTTAGATGATAAACTCCTGGAAAGGCCTGGACCGGTACATTTTTCTGTGTTTTGTGCAGCTCTACTATTTACGGTGTTTAAAATGATCATCACGATTAATCCATAGATAAACCACCCTAAGGAAGCCAATGTTGCCTGCTCTGCAAGAGAAGGGCCTCAAATGTGGCATAAATACCATTTGTTCCCCGTTATTTACAATGCCTATTATGGTTCCCCAGGGAGCCATGCATCCAACGCCTAATTCATGGGTCACGCAGGGGAGATGAGCACTGACTTTATTGGACTGTGAATTAGGCCACCGATACGTAACACCTCCAAAGCCTGCAGACTGACGTTATATATGTGTGTGTATATATATACACACCTATGTGCCTCCCATATCCTCCTGTGTTATCAGGCCCAACTGAACATCACTAAACCTTTGCCAACTTCCTGACCAAAGCCACCTGCAGAATCAGCCAGAGCACTCCATTTTGCAATAATGCTGAATGTCCATCAACGTGCTGTTTCCATTCCAGTTATCACCCCTCTTTGTGTACTTGTAGAAAAACTGACCCCTCTATATCATGTCATGCAAACTTCAGCTCTTGCAATGTTAAAAACTAAGGTAATATATCATGAATTATCAAATGGCATCACATTAATGTGATTTTCCCTGTCTACTGCTTTCACAATCATTCAAGCAATAGTGACTTTTCCAATGAAATAAAAAACAAAACACAAAAAAACATTAAAAAGATCTAGGTCATTGCTGGCATAAAGATTAAATTTATTTTCAGTATGTCAATCTTGGTTTTCTACTTAATTTGATGGTATGAAAGGACATTTAATGACACAGAGCCATTGTGCACACCAAGCCACACGTGCCTGTGGGCAGTGCACCGAGTTGCATGGTCATTGTTATAACACTCTAGACACTAATTTATAACTAAGCCATAGGACTTTAATATAAATTGGTGGATGACTTTTGAAAGGTGAATGGCACAGCCAAGTTTCACCTTTTGCTAAATGTATATGGTTCCTGTTCTTTGGTATATATACTTACATAACATGACTTTCAAATAACTTCAACTGGGAAGTGGCAAATTAGCTCCGTCATCCAACTGCCTCGACTAAACATCCCATCTGTAAAGCCTTCCTTGGGCAAGGGGCTTCCTTCCCATTTGTGGTTAAAAGGACATGGAAGCACAGAGGAAAACATATCCAAAGAGGGAAGAGAATGCGCAAGAGACTTGCCAAAGGAGATACATATAGTATATATTGTACTGCCTGTTAGGACAGTAAATTCCTAGCAGGGCTCATTCTGATATCTTTCTCTGTGCTCTCTCTATAGCGCTAAATATTACTTCCAATGTTTAGAAATTATGATTGTGAGAAAATCTGTAGACAAAACCTCCTAAGAAACCCAGCATAACTTGCCCTGCAGGTGTAGAACACTACTGTTCCACATATAGCAAGATATAGTTTGAATTCTGAATTAATGTCTCATAAGAAAATAAAACTAAGTCTAATTCTCACCTATATTGAGTTTGTGTAGCAAGGGTTTGGTAGGGGGGGCTACAGCCATGGCTTCTGTGAGAAGCTGCTAGAAGCTTCCCCCGTGTCCTATAGAGCCAATGCCAGCCAGATACAAGAGAGCCAATGCCAGCTGGCTCCAAGACGGACCCGCTGCTGGACAAGGCCAAGCCCATCAATGACGGTGGTAGCACCTCAGGGATAACGTAGTTAAGAAGGGGAAAAGCTGTGGTGACACAGCAGCCAGAAGAGAAGAGTGAGAAGATGTGACAGGAACAAACCTGCAGACACCAAGGCCAGTGAAGAAGGAGAGGGAGGAGGTGCTCCAGGCACCAGAGCAGATCCCCCTGCAGCTCGTGAAGAAGATCATGGTGAGGCAGGCTGTCCCTCTGCAGCCCATGGAGGTCCATGCTGGAGCAGAGATTACATCTGCAGCCCCTGAAGGACCCCACACCAGAGCACGTGGATCTGCCCAAAGGAGGCTGTGACCCCGTGGGAAGCCCACCCTGCAGCAAGTTCCTGGCAGGACCAGTGGCCCTGTGGAGAGAGGAGCCCATGCTGGAGCTGGGTTGCTGGCAGGGCTTGTGTCCCGC